AAAACGGTCAGCTCTACGACCCGAAGACACAAACGCTGGAAGACTTTCTGAACATAAGACTCGGTGAGGATATGCCGACAATACATGACGATAAGAAACCCGAACGCGATGTGAAGAACTTTCCCCGAGTTTTGCCGCCCATATGGCCCGACAGGACACGACTCTATTTGCTGCCCGACTCGTGGTTTGAGTACTTCTACAAGAAGACAGGAGTGACGGGTCCGTACGTATTCGGTGTCACATTCGGGACGTATCTCTTGTCCAAAGAGTGGTTTATCGTTGAGCACGAGATCTTTACGGGCGCGTCGCTGGCCATCCTTACGGCCGCCATTTGTATTAAAGCCGGTCCGGCCCTCAGGAAGTGGGGCGGAGAAGTGCAGGACGTAAGTTACCCTTCATTACAATCACTACTACTTATAAACACCACATTTAATGTCAAATACATTTACATTTATTTTTCATTAATCAGTTGTTTTAAAAGTTTTTTAGTACTCATTATTAATGAGTCATTAATACAATTGAATCCAATTCACAAATATTAATGAATATTTCATTTGTTTATCACAATTGCATTCATTTTAATAAATATTTATAATTCAATATTGGATTTAAGAATAGTTTAAATGAATGAACGAAAGAATACTTTGAGGTTTTGATGAATTAGTTATTGTGATTGAATGACACGAATCATACTATCTATTCATTGTGAGGAGACTATGACTTAACAATCAAAATGTTTGTTTAAATAATTATAATAATAACAATTATTCAATTGATGTCTTGTGAATACTAATTACTAAATATGACCATTGGATGTGTCTATGGTGTGGAGATGTAGTGATGTGTTAAATATAGTATTTGTGGTGTGTTTTCAGGCGGAGGTCAACCTATGGAATGAATGGCAGGACGGGATGAAGAGTTTCCTCAACAATCTGGTGGGCGTCGAGAATGAGGCACAAGAGAGCGCTCGACAACACAAGATCCTGTTTGACGCCAAACGCGAGAACGTGAAGCTCCAGTTGGAGGCAGAGTTCAGGCGCCGACAAATGGTGGCCTACAGTGAGGTCCGCAATAGACTGGAGTACCTGTTGGCCAAACAGGTGGCGGAGCGACAGTACCAACAGCAGCATATGGTCAACTGGATTATCGATGGCGTCGCCAAAGGGATCTCCGCTCCACAGGAGAAGGACTTCCTTCAGAAATGCTTATCCGATTTGAAACTCTTGTCGTCTAAACATAAGATTTCGTTGACTTAATTAAATGTCATTCAAAAAGATTATTATTAAATTAGATTTCAAATTAAGCATTAAATTAGAAAATTGTTTAACTATTAAAAGTACGATAAAGTGAACTGTTTTTGTCTCTTATTTCTAACTATAAAACCTAATAATAACGACTATTTTGGAGTAAAACACTCGCGAAATACTGTACTCTCAATGGACTTTAGATTAAACACATTATAATTAACTTTTGATTTGAAGTGAAGAGTCTCGTGAGGCGCGGAAGGGAGCCGTGAGAGAGAGAGAGAGAGAGAGGTTTTAGTAATACTTTTAGTTCTTATTAATTAAAAGCCAAAAGTTTTTAAAATATAATGAATTTTATTTTTTATTTTATCTGATGAAATAAATGAAGCGAATGTCTGGACTAGTGTCGGTAAATTGGACAATTTTCATTCACGCTCACTCACGTTCACGACAAAAATTTTCACGCTCACTCACACTCACTGGGAAAAATTCAATCGTGAATCACACTCACTCACGGTGTCTGTAAAACTTTTCACGTTCACTCACGATCACGATTTTTCACATACACTCACGCCACTCACGGTTTTAACTATACCCAAAATGTAAATTGTCGTACGGTAAATTGTTGTGTATAATACAATTAAACAATATTAATATATATATAAACAAAAGCCTAAAGTTTTATAAAATTATTTAACATATTTCATTATTATCTGGTTTCTTATTAAATAAATCGTGAGTGGCGTGAATCACACTCACGGGAAAATTTCAATCGTGAATCACACTCACTCACGGGGTGTCTAAAATTATTCACGTTCACTCACGATCACGGNACTTTATCGTACTTTTAATAGTTAAACAATTTTCTAATTTAATGCTTAATTTGAAATCTAATTTAATAATAATCTTTTTGAATGACTTTTAATTAAGTCAACGAAATCTTATGTTTAGACGACAAGAGTTTCAAATCGGATAAGCATTTCTGAAGGAAGTCCTTCTCCTGTGTAGCGGAGATGCCTTTGGCGACGCCATCGATAATCCAGTTGACCATATGCTGCTGTTGGTACTGTCGCTCCGCCACCTGTTTGGCCAACAGGTACTCCAGTCTATTGCGGACCTCACTGTAGGCCACCATTTGTCGGCGCCTGAACTCTGCCTCCAACTGGAGCTTCACGTTCTCGCGTTTGGCGTCAAACAGGATCTTGTGTTGTCGAGCGCTCTCTTGTGCCTCATTCTCGACGCCCACCAGATTGTTGAGGAAACTCTTCATCCCGTCCTGCCATTCATTCCATAGGTTTACCTCCGCCTGAAAATACACCACAAATACTATATTTAACACATCACTACATCTCCACACCATAGATGCATCCAATGGTCATATTTAGTAATTAGTATTCACAAGACATCAATTGAACAATTATTATAATTATTATTTAAACAAACATTTTGATTGTTAAGTCATAGTCTCCTCACAATGAATAGATAGTATGATTCCTGTCATTCAATCACAATAACTAATTCATCAAAACTTCAAACTATTCTTTCGTTCATTCATTTAATTTATTCTTAAATTCAATATTGAATTATAAATATTCATTAAAATGAATGCAATTGTGATAAACAAATAAAATATTCATTAATATTTGTAAATTGGATTCAATTGTATTAATGAGAACTAAAAAAACTTTTAAAACAACCGATTAATGAAAAATAAATGTAAATGTATTTGACATTAAATGTGGTGTTTATAAGTAGTAGTGATTGTAATAAAGGGTAACTTACGTCCTGCACTTCTCCGCCCCACTTCCTGAGGGCCGGACCGGCTTTAATACAAATGGCGGCCGTAAGGATGGCCAACGACGCGCCCGTAAAGATCTCGTGCTCAACGATAAACCACTCTTTGGACAAGAGATACGTCCCGAATGTGACACCGAATACGTACGGACCCGTCACTCCTGTCTTCTTATAGAAGTACTCAAACCACGAGTCGGGCAGCAAATAGAGTCGTGTCCTGTCGGGCCATATGGGCGGCAAAACGCGGGGAAAGTTCTTCACATCGCGTTCGGGTTTCTTATCGTCATGTATTGTCGGCATATCCTCACCGAGTCTTATGTTCAGAAAGTCTTCCAGCGTTTGTGTCTTCGGGTCGTAGAGCTGACCGTTTTCGGCGTCGATTGCGGGCAGAAGTGGAGGATTGAAGTTCACTTCGTGGCGGGTGTGAGACATGGATCGTATGGCCAGCGATGACTGCACACCACTCGACGCCCGCCATAGACTCTCTGCACAACACATAATACAACCATTAAATCAATTATATATCAATTAATCGTTTAATAACATCGATATTAACACAAAGACTAATAGATTCACACAATTATCACATCATTTAAATCACAATTCATTAAAATGTGATTTAAAGACAATATCGTATACTATTTGGCAAATCAAACAATTCATTCATACTTGAGCTGAAGACCAGTCGGGACAGCATTTCTGGACACTAATCGTGGATCCGATGGACACCTAAACGAAGATAATTGTCAATCAATTGCTAAATACAATCGGATTTAAAGTAAATTTTGGTAAATTATAATCAAATGATGATTACATACAATGAGTGCAGTATTTATCGATCGGTTGTATTGAATGGCAATGAATGTCAAGCAATGCAGCGCTCAATAGATGGCACTCAACGCACAGCACAGGCCTCAGTGGCGGTGCCGTCGAAAGTCACGTGACTCACAGCCTCTCCACAGGTATATAAGGCGTGCGAAACGTCTATCCGTTTCCTTGTTTTAGTGAAGCATTCATTTGTGACAACACTTCACATCACAAACACATCGTAAGTCTGAAAACATTACATTTAATTCAATTCAATTCAACTTTGCGTTCATTTAATGTCACTTTCATTCAATGCACTTATCGTTGAATCGATCGTTGATCTCATTTGAGGCCATATTTGTGGCCGAAATGAGTGAATGAATGGTTGAATTGAGTGCCGATTGAATGGACACGTGTTTGCGATGTATTGTCTGATTAGTAATGCCATTGTGTTTGTCTATGTCTTAGATGGCGGACAACGCTCCAGCCGGTGGCGGAAGAGGCGGTTTCAGAGGTGGTTTCGGTGGCGGCGAACGCGGCAGAGGTCGAGGCCGTGGACGCGGTCGTGGAGGACGCGGAGGAAGGGGTCGCGGCCGAGGGGGCAAAGACGGCGACAAGGAGTGGATTCCTGTGACCAAATTGGGTCGCCTCGTGAAGGACGGAAAGATCAAGTCGTTGGAAGAGATCTACCGGTTCTCACTGCCCATCAAAGAGTTCGAGATCATTGACTTCTTTATCGGACCCCAACTGAAGGACGAGGTGTTGAAGATAATGCCGGTCCAGAAGCAGACGCGCGCCGGACAGAGGACTCGTTTCAAGGCATTCGTGGCGATCGGCGACTACAACGGTCACGTGGGTCTGGGCGTGAAGTGCAGCAAAGAGGTGGCCACTGCTATCCGCGGTGCCATCATTTTGGCCAAACTGTCGGTCATTCCCGTTCGCAGAGGTTATTGGGGTAACAAAATCGGTAAACCGCATACCGTTCCCTGTAAGGTATGTACCGTTAGATTGTACGCAACTATTTGTCTTGAGATTTGTCGCAACATTAAAGCGGAAGCGTTCGCCCTTTCGAGGTCTTGAGCGCTTCCCTTTGTTGTAGTTATAATGGGCTTTATATCCAATGCAATGGTGAGCCTTGTCTACAGTGTTGCACATTAATGATTGTCTCCCTTCGGGTCGATGTCAGCCACGAATGCATATTCCATAAACTCTTTTGAATGCAGTTCTCCTGCAGTGATGATCGAGACAGACCATGCATTCGACATTCCTTTACATTCTTACTATTCAATTGACAACTTTTTGTTCAATTGGTTTTTAATGTTTAAAACCATATATTAATTGGTTTTTATATTTGATTTTTTCAGGTGACCGGAAAGTGTGGCTCCGTTTTGGTGCGACTCATACCCGCGCCCAGAGGTACAGGTATTGTGTCGGCTCCGGTGCCCAAGAAGTTGATGCATATGGCGGGTATTGAGGACTGTTACACATCGGCCACCGGCTCGACGTGTACTTTGGGTAACTTCGCGAAGGCTACGTATCTGGCCATTCAACAGACCTACTCATACCTGACGCCCGACTTGTGGCCCGAATCGCCGCTCAATAAGTCTCCGTATCAGGAATATCACGACCACCTGTCCATCAATGTCAGCGCCGCTCAGGCACTCAAATAGAGACTGACTTTCCGTTTATTGAATGTCTCAATAAATATTTGAATTTATGAATAATTTGTTTGCATTTATTTTTTACTTATGAATACATTATTAGTTTGTTTGCTAAAGAGTAGAGTGAAAGGTAACGCTAATGTAATCTCCAATTATGCGATGCATTGTATTAATGCATATATTATTGGCTGCAAAGACAATGAATACTTATGAGAAGACCCGTACATATGCTGCTTGAGTGCAAAACTAGTTTTTTAAGTGTGTATTGAGAGTGTATTTAAAGGGTAATCGTAGAGATGTATGTAAAGTAGCGGTTATTGAAGTGAATATATGAAGTGACAAATGTATTTGTATTGATAGGGAAGGTATGAGAGGTCTTATAATTTTGAAGTTTTGTAGTGAACGCCTATACGAGAGGGAGAAAGGAGTATTGAATGTGAGAGCTATGGGTAAAGCAGATCAAAATATGCATTTAATGTAAGTATTCATTCAAACATTCAGTAAACATTCAAAGTAAGCAGTCAAATATGTCATATAATATGCATTTATAGATCTTTTAATTTTGACATTATTTAATATATTTAACGAACAATATTACGAGATATAATTATGAAAATGCTCTAGACATTCAAAACCTATTTAAATGTTCTCAATTAAGGATAAAATATAAGTTAAAAATATATTATTAATTTTTAAATGCAATAATAATTACTGTCATTACAAAAGGTAATACACATAAATGTTTGTTTTATGACTTGATACTTGATCATAAAATACAATTTATTCAATTTATTGTAAATTTTGTAACAGTTTAGACTAAAAGGGTCCAGATTGAAATAGGGGATGTTTTTAATGACATGGTTATTGAGTAACCAAGGTGTCGTTTAAATTATAACACAATGATTAGATAAGTACTTATAGGTAATTTTTGGCTTCACTTAGTTTAGACATATGTCAAGCTTTCATTTTTTAAGAAAATGCATGTTTTTATGCTTTTGGACCAAATATGTATTTATGAGTTAAATATGTATTTATAATCAAAATAAAATTTGGTCAAAACGCTGCTTATTATGTAATTGGTTTGAACCCAAAGTCTCTAACATAGTGTACATAACTAACTGTACTGCATATGCATTTAAATGAAATGATATGCTTTAGCTATGGGTATATCCAGTAGTGTCTTATGCGTAGAGTAGGCGTCACTCTCTTCGCACGTATGTATTGAATGGTATTTATTGTGAAATAGCATTGAATTGATGTGTTGTTTGTCTCATATCTCTCACTCTATTATTGATGCGGAACTCGACTCCAGTCAAGTCCTAAGCATTGCATTGAATGGCAATCAAAACAATTGATACACAATATAATGAGTCATTTGTCTGAATGTGAGTCAGTATTACATAAATAGACGTTACATCACCGGTGGTCACAACACACGCTCAAGACAGCACTTCCAGACACCACAACCACTCTCTCACACCCAATGCATTGCCATCGCGTTTGATGACAAGCAGTGATAATCATCGCAGACATCATTGGCCGCCAAAATGGGTATCAATTTGTCGACCCCTTCCTCGCCGGTCAACGAACAGTCGCTATCTCTCACACCCAATGCATTGCCATCGCGTTTGATGACAATCAGTGATAATCATCGCAGACATCATTGGCCGCCAAAATGGGTATCAATTTGTCGACCCCTTCCTCGCCGGTCAACGAACAGTCGCTGAATCGACACAACAAGTCGTTGAATAGCCATCCCGTCAATAGTGTGGTCTCACATACTATCGCTATCAATGACAAACACCACTCGTCTTCGGGCGGCGGCCACGAAGTGGACCATCAAATGCCCGATTCTAACGAACTCGAGAGACGATTCACCAAAGGTATGGATTGCTGTCAATCACTAATTGTTGTCCATATCTTAATGTCCATCACTAATGACATGTCCGTTGATTTGTTTGTTGTTTCGGTGACACTAGTGTTGGCGTCAATGGATTTACCTCCAGATAAGGCCAAACTTCTGCGCGGATACGACATCGAGAAGAAGTGGGAAATGATTAGAGATCAGGAAAAAGTGACGGCCAAACAGTCGCCCGAATACTATCTCCAAAAACTGTCCACTTATTTGGACCCAAAGGCCAGTCGGAGTACGAAGAAAGTGAGACAATTGGGCGCTAAGACATCGACACAAGTGCTTCGCGATCTGGAGATCTCTTTGCGCACGAATAACATCGAATGGGTTCGAGAGTTCCTCTCGGAGTCGAACGGCGGTCTCGATGTGCTCATCGAATACCTCACCTTTCGGTTAGTGACACAACAACAGCACCAACTCCTCAAAGACCAACAAACCCAACACCAGTCCAATGGCAGCGCCGATAATCTGACCGCAAGTCAAGACCAAA